GGGTGAAATTAATTGGATAAATGATGAGACACACAAGGGAGTACAGAAAAGGAAGGCCCTCAGATGGTGCCATCCTTACAGTTGTATTGTTTTTGTGAGAAAAATAATCGTATAAGTCTGAAGAACAACAAACAATAGGCAGTTTGGTTAGCCATTAGCCATTAGCCTATAGCTTCAACAAAGACTTTTGCCTCTTTCACCATACTCAGTGCTCTTTGACTGTTGTCACAGCTGATACTAACTATTGATAATTATTTGACCAAACATTGCTTCATAAATGACTGGACTGTTCCTTTAAGTCCCCTTTAAAACATTTTTTTTTTAAATAACAAGATTTGCATTCTTCAACTCTATCTGGCCAACAATGCTCTGAAACGTAAGGGACTGCATATTATCACAGAAGACAACTCAAGTTTGGCATTTTGCATTCTTGAATGGCAGGTTCAAACGGTAAAAATACTTTATTAGCATTGGAAAATAAACTGTACATAACATCAATAATAATACTTATATTTTGGGGGATTTCAACATCTCATAAAGACAGAAAAAAATGCAGCAGACAATGTAATGCAGTTTTATGATTTCTAATGATAATTTTTTATATACAGTAGTCCCTCGTTTATCGCGGGTGTTCCGTTCCTAGCCTCCCTGCGATAAGTGAAAAACCGCAAAGTAGGAATAGTAGTAAAAGTAGTAGTAGTTTATTTTTGTATATATATATATATATACATATATATAAAGGCGTTTTAAACCCTTCCCACACTCTTGCAATATTCTAAAAGATGTTTCTACACTCTAAACACACTAGAAGAGCACAGAATGTCATGTTCTATTCGTGTAAGCTACGCCATTTAAAAGCTGTAGCTTTTGGGTTGACCCTCGGGAGACATGGAACATTCAGGAACTGCAGCCGACTTGAGACCCTCTGTAGCAGGCTCTGGATCTTCTGTGGCAGGCTCAAGTCTGGTCATGGAACCCTCAAGGAACGTGGAACTCTCTGCAGACCGGGGACCTTTGGGCTGAGGCGTGGAAACCTCAGAGGCTGCAGCAGGCTTGAGACCCTCTGGAGGCTTGGGGCCCAGAAGAAGCTTGGGACCCAGAAGAGGCTTGAGACCCAGAAGAGGCTTGGGACCCACTGGAGGCTTGGGGCCCACTGGAAGCTTGGGGCCCACTGGAGACTTGGGGCCCACTGGAAGCTTGGGGCCCACTGGAAGCTTGGGGCCCACTGGAGACTTGTGGCCCACTGGAGGATTGGGGTCCAGGAGATGTTTGGGGTGATACGAGGTGTTAGGACCAACCGTTATTGAGACACCAATAGATGGGGTGTCAAAACCAGTCCCCACAGAGGCACAGGAAGATGGGGTATTGGGACCAGCCTCCACTGAAGCATAGGAAGGAGGTGGGATGTCGGGTCCTACCCCCACTGAAGCACTGAAGTATGGGGCATCGGAACCAGCCCCCACCGAAACAAAGGAAAGAGGTGGGGCGTCGGGTCCTACCCCAAATGAAGCAACCTCCTGGACCCTCTCTGAGACACAAGGAGCAGGTGGTTCGTGTGAGTTCTGCAGTGGCACAGTATAGCTGGAGAGAGATGGGTGTTTAAACTGTTCTTTGAAAGTCCGTATGTTAATGAGTAATTGATGGTACTCAGGGATCTGGGTTATTGCAGGTTGAGACAGTAATATTTCTTCAGCTAGGGAATAAATAGTGCTCTGACAGTCCGTTTTGAGTTTAGCAGATGAAAGCAGATATTGAATTGTGTTATTTAAAGCAATAGATTCAGGAGATGACTTATCTGAGAAGGAGGATTGTCCTGAAGGGATTCAACAGAAGACTCAGGAAGGAGCTGAGTGGGCTTTCTTTCTGGTTGGCCACCCTCCGTCTGCTCCATTGAGGAGCGGGTGTTTGACTGTTCCTCCTGCTTTGAAACTCTCCCCGGTGCTTTAGGCTGTGCAGCAGGAGAGCATGTTAAAGGCTGGAGCTGGGGATCAGTGGGCCTGACCCATCTTTGCCGCTTATTCCTCCTGCGGTGGTGGCGTGAGCTGAGGACAGGAGCACACCAGAGTTCATCCTCCAGCTCAGCATCGTCCTCCGAAGACCACAACAGGTGTGGCGAGCAGGGCAGCAGGGTGGAGGGAGATGCTGGTTTAAAAGCCATCTGGCTCCCCCGGAGCTGAGACCTCATTTCTCTTCCTCCACTAGAAGAGGTGATGGCAGGATCTCCACCACTGGGCTGTGGTGACCTTGTCTCTGGACGGGTTCGGTCCGGAACCCGCCCCACCGGATGACAGGCTCATCTATCTGTGCCTGCTCCCACCGGGTCATCCGAGCTGCTTCTTGGGCCCGGTACTCGGCCCAACTCATCTGCCTGCTGGGTTATCGCTGTGGTCTGGGTATACTGTCATAATTGAAGGTTTTTAAAGGCAGAACCCAAGGGTGCTGGTAGGACTCGGGAGACTCGGTGGTTAAATAATAAACACTTGTAATAACACAAAAATACACAGCTGGCGAGGCAGCAAAATTTACATTACTAAGAGACACAGAGAATCACAAGGAGGCACTCAGGAAACACCAGGGACTCGGGAAGTTTACCAGACGAATACAAGCCAATGCCCAGACAAGGAATAATAATAAAAATGATGGTTTGAGGCAGGTGCGTTTGCTGAGATGCGCAGGGTTTTTAAAGTGAAAAATAAAAAACCTTTCTCAAAAAGCGTAGTTTTTCATTCAGACAGGCTGAATTCATCTGTTCCGTTTTTTGTAAGCACATCCTCCACATTTAATGAAAAAGTTAGCCTGATGCAACCGTTCAAAGGTAAACAAAAAGAAAAGCAGTTTTGGTAATGACACACAAACAAGAGATGGAGCGGCTGCGCTCAACAGCTCCTCCATCCACCCACCAGCCCCGCCTCCTCGCCTGTCAGAGGAGGCGAGCGCTGAGGACAGCTGTCAGAAAACAAAGAATGGTAAGATGTTTAACAAAAAGTTAAAGCCCAAAGAGCACAGGGACCTTTCTGTCCCCACACACTCAGGTAAAAAACATGAACCTGCAGTTAAAGCAAGAGCTTTACGAAGGGGTTATCCATCTCTTTTTCCTGACCGGCCAACAGAAGTGAGCACTGAAGGTGAACCTCCACTGAAGCGGCGCTTGTTTTGTTCACCCGCTAACGCCGGTTCTTCTCC